AATGCAGCCACTCTTTGCTGCTTGGAGGACCTCTCTTCTGCTCTTCTTCTTGGGGCAGGGTGCAGCAAGGCCTCCAGCTTCCAGCAAGGGGTGTCGAGCCTAGTCCATTCTGTCACACCATGGTAAAATCATTTTAAGATATCTTTTCAAAGCACTGGCACTCTAGTGTATCTTACTTGTGTCGAATCTGATACAGAGATGAGTTTATTACACTGCAAATAATTTTCCAGCTGTTTTGTTGAAAAGATTGGTTAGATCTGGCCGAAGGTGCTTGGTATCATGTTGGGAACAAGACAGTATGAATGCAGTATCATTTTTCTGCAGTATGTTGCTATGAAATTCTAATAACCTATGGGTATTGTGGGCATAGGATCTGAAGCAAGCACTGAGGTTTTTTTTTCTCTTTTCATTATTTTCTTTTGTCGAAAATATGGTCGTTTGTACCAATACCTCTTTTCTCAATTTTTTTCTTTTTCCTTTTGTCGACAAAGAAAAAATCACCACTGAAGTAAGGATTGAGTACCTTTTAAGAGCAAAGCATGCTGGGCACCTTCTCTCATGTTTAAAGGCCAGTCCAGATGCATCTCAGCTTCAAAGACTTATTTGACACAAGTGGCTTTTAGCTTAGCAACAGTGATATTCTGGTTCCCAGATCTATGAAGGTTACAGCTTCCACTACCACCAATTCTGACTCCTGTATTGGGGGAAAAAACAGCTGGTGCCAATTGTGCATTCCGTGGTACCAGTAGTATCAGTTGTGTCATTTTACTTCACAGTCAACCCATGTCCCTGGTGGTTTCACCAAAGCTAGATTTTTGTAAACTTCAAGGCCTAGTGTATTACTTTTTGGCCAGTTTTTTATTGATCTATATTATACTGAGGGGGAAAAAGGCATTTACTTAACAATGAGATTTCAATAAGGTGCTTTTGCCATTACACCAATATAATTTCTTAAATGTATGCAAGATAGCCCAAGGTTTTACATATCAGTCATTTGAAACAGTATTTGTATGTCTGTTTTAGGACCTGAGGGACCGTCTTTGGGATATTTGTGAAAACAGGAGGGAAGAAGCAGAGCAAGAACGTAGTGATATCATGAATGATGGTTGGTTACCGGATCATATGGGTATCCTGATGAACCACTTCTTTTCACTTATGCAGGTATGGTGAATAACTGAATGGGCTTAGTCCTGATCTTGCAATATCCCAGGTAGATTCTTAGATTAATGCATTTATCTCAATGGGATTTCACATGTATGGTCACTTCAGAGTGCATGCTCAAAACTAAACTTAGCAAATATCTGTTTAATTAATACTTACTAAAGAAGGAAGATGACTAAACTAGGGAGTGAGAATAAAAGAAGACATGCATGTATATTCCCAGCAGTGTATCATCTTTTGGACAAAGCAGTTCAAGAAAAATACCATTGTCATGTAAAAATAAATTGTCAAGCTATATTGCGTATTGTTGTTATTTGCATTCAGCTTACCAATTAAATGAGTTTAGTGAAATACCTTTTTCTATTTATAATTGTCTCTGTTCTTAACTGGGACTTCTAAATGCTATAATTCTATACAGTGCTACCCGACCCATCTATTTTAAGATTGACCAACACTTCTCTTTATAACACCCTGTTTCTATTGCCTCTAACTTTGCCAAATTTAAGTGATTTAGGGTGAAATTGTTTATGCCAGATATCTTTTGGAAATTTTCACCTAAAACAGTTCAGCCATTTCTAATAATGCAGCAAAGAAAAAAAATGCATTGTTTCAATATTTAAAATGTATCTGGTCATTTCTTTCTTTAGAACAGGGACTTGAAATTTATGTCATGAATGGACTTTTTGCCATTCCTGAGTAATTTTGCTCACATTTGGTCAAATTTTAAACTTTAGAAAAACTTGACATCACACATATTCAGCTACAGTGATGCACAACTGAGTGGATAAATGATGCTTAGGATCCTTAGGCAGGGCCTATCCCACTAGGCAGAAATATCTGTCTTCACTCTCTAATCTCCACAGGACTTTGGCACCTCTATCTCCTGTGAGTGCAATTTGAGGGAGAATCCCTCAAGCAGGATATGTGAATTCTACTTCCTTTGATTCACACCAAAAGGATTACAACACTTTATTACTCTTGCAACTAATAACAAAGTGATTTGCAATCTAAAACTTACCAAAAGTTATCATCTGGGCAAAGCAGCATGCTGCACACATATGTAGAGTGGGTGTGTCTATGCAGACAAGGTTGGTTCTCAAAAGCAAATCTGCAGCCTCAGAACTTCACAATTCCAGGGTACCCAAAAGGAGTTCTCCTAGGAGCCCTTGAAAGAACATGCACCAGGTAGAGATTTTACCTCTTAAAATTTAAGCTTATCAGTTCCCTCAGCTATCCTGGCACCATCATCATTCCAATCTGATATCTTAGTGACTCTCAGTTCCTCAGGTATCCCGGGCATAACTGTACCACAAACTGGCAAAGCCATTGGCCTGGAGAGATCCTCCTTACCATTATCTGATCAAGATGGCAAGAAGAGCTCTTCCTCTGCTTCCTCAGTACTGAAAAATATCACTTGGCCTCTAGCTATGCCTCCCTCAGAGCGCACAAGACCTTGGGCACCATCAGCAGCCACACTTCCCTTCCAGCACCCAAAGCCAGAGTTACTTTCAGATTCCTCGGCCATGACTAGTTCAGTGCAGATGTCAGTCTAGATACCAATCACTTTGCATTACCACAGAAGTTCTGCTTTCCCCAGGATCTGACTGGATCTGAGACTTCCATTCTCCACTCCTTGGCTCTGATATGCAGTCAGTATTGAGAACATCAAGATCACCTGTACCAACTGTTTTCACTTCATATCTTTGCAGGCATTCCACCATTCCTTAGTAAACTTGAGGAGGAAGATTATGATGAGGCTCTTTCCTCAATCTTACTACTATAGAGGCTCCTTCCTAGAAGCCCCTGCAGAAACTGCAACTGCTTGCGGCCTATGATTACCACCAGAACCTCCCTGGTATGGGCACGCCTGGGTGCCTCCGCCTGTTCTGTAGGCACCTCTTCTCTGGCCATATTGGGATTCCTGGGTGGCTTTTTACAAATAGTTTTCCAGAGCCTCTAGTACTTGTCATGGAGAAGAGCAACTGACATTATCTGCTCCGTCCAGCATCCCTAGTCCTCCAAAGGCATCCTTTGAAGAAGGCTAGAGCCAATATAGTAGTCATGCCTTCTCCTTCATCCCCGGTTGATGACTTGAAACACTTTCATGACCTCATCAAGAGGATCATAGACTCTTTGCAGAGTCCCCTCATAGAAGTTATAGAAGCTCATCACAAGCTGCTTGTCATCTTTCACTCCCCTTCAGCAGCTTGCATAGCGTTTTTTCCCAGCAAAGATCTAGCACACCCCATTTTCTATTTTGCTTACATGTAAAGGATAAAACAAGAAGTTTTACATCCCAGCAAAAAAATGAGATTTTATTTTTCTATTTTTCACCTAACTCCTTGGTGAAAGGAGTGGATGCAAAGAACATTGAGTAGGCAGCATCACAGTAAATCCACATCTCATGACAAAGATCACAAGCTCCTGGACCTGTAACTAGGGGGAAAGTCTTACTCCTCGGTCTCCCTGTAATTCTGAATTGCTTCTGGCCTTGATGGCAAAATACCATCAATTATACCATGCTAACCTTGTTCATCAACCAGCTACTGAGATGATACAGAATAATTTAAGGCAATTGTGGAGAAGGGTCCACTACTTGCCAAGATAACCTTTGAAGCTTCCATGAATACTATTGATACTGCTACCTATTCAATCATTACAATGGTGGCGATGAGAAGAGTCTCTTGGTGCCAGCTCTCTGATTCCTAAAGCAGGTTGAGAGTACAGATATAGATCTTACTTTTCACGGATCTATGTTGGTCACATATAGTACAGACAAAAGCATTGAAGGATTCTAAATCAACTTTGCATTCTCCTGGCATCTACACAAGAGAAAACTGTGCAATTCTCAGAGGGCCAGACATCCTATCTTAATCCAGTTCCTTCCCTCCTACAGTACATATGAGCCAGACCGAGAAGATAGTTTCTTTCTCTGAAACCTATGTGCTTCTCAACCTTCTGCCTCCCACTCATCACCATCTAAGCCAGGCATGTCAAACTCAAAGCCCTATTGAGGGCTGCACAAATGAAAACTGGTTGCTTTCAGGGCCACCTAGAGTTCCCAGATGGTTTGATCAAAAAATTTGTTGAGGAAAAAAAAAAAGCATTTGAGGCAGAAGGCATCAATACTGGACGCCTAGCAACCTTAGGCCACCAAAGAAAATGTACTTTGTCGGAAAGTCATAGTTATTTATTTTATAGATTATGTTTTAGGTATATTTTATAATATTACAATAATTTTATGTGTAAAATTGTTATTTCATAGAATCATAGAATCATAGGACTGGAAGGGACCTCAAGAGGTCATCGAGTCCAGCCCCCCGCCCTCAAGGCAGGACCAAGCTCCGTCTACACCATCCCTGACAGATGTCTATCTAACCTGTTCTTAAATATCTCCAGAGAGGGAGATTCCACCACCTCCCTTGGCAATTTATTCCAATATTTGACCACCCTGACAGTTAGGAATGTTTTCCTAATGTCCAATCTAAACCTCCCCTGCTGCACTTTAAGCCCATTACTCCATGTCCTGTCCTCAGAAACCAAGAGGAACAAATTTTCTCCTTCCTCCTTGTGACACCCTTTTAGATATTTGAAAACCACTATCATGTCCCCCCTTAATCTTCTTTTTTCCAAACTAAACAAGCCCAGTTCATGAAGCCTGGCTTCATAGGTCATGCTCTCTAGACCTTTAATCATTCTTGTCGCTCTTCTCTGTACCCTTTCCAATTTCTCCACATCTTTCTTGAAATGTGGCGCCCAGAACTGGACACAGTACTCCAGCTGAGGCCTAACTAGCGCAGAGTAGAGCGGCAGAATGACTTCACGAGTTTTGCTTACAACACACCTGTTAATACAACCTAGAATCATATTTGCTTTTTTTGCAACAGCATCACACTGTTGACTCATATTCAACTTGTGGTCCACTATGACCCCTAGATCCCTTTCCGCCATGCTCCTTCCTAGACAGTCGCTTCCCATCTTGTATGTATGGAACTGATTGTTCCTTCCTAAGTGGAGCACTCTGCATTTCTCCTTATTAAACCTCATCCTGTTTACCTCCGACCATTTCTCTAACTTGCTAAGGTCATTTTGAATTATGTCCCTATCCTCCAAAGAAGTTGCAACCCCACCCAGTTTGGTATCATCTGCAAACTTAATAAGAGTACTCTCTATCCCAATATCTACATCATTGATGAAGATATTGAACAGTACGGGTCCCAAAACAGACCCTTGAGGAACTCCACTTGTTATCCCTTTCCAGCAGGATTTAGAACCGTTAACAACAACTCTCTGACTACGGTTATCCAGCCAATTATGCACCCACCTTATCGTGGCCCTATCTAAGTTATATTTGCCTAGTTTATCAATAAGAATATCATGCGAGACCGTATCAAATGCCTTACTAAAGTCTAGGTATATGACATCCACCGCTTCTCCCTTATCCACAAGGCTCGTTATCTTATCAAAGAAAGCTATCAGATTAGTTTGGCATGACTTGTTCTTCACAAACCCATGCTGGCTATTCCCTATTGCTATTTGCTCTTTAAATACTTTAAAAATTATGTAAAAATTAAATTTAAATTTAAATATAAATGTAAGGTACTTCTAAATTTTGTATATGATACATAACTTGTTTTGTTAAAATAAAAACAAGTATAGACCATGGTTAATCAAATAGAACAGCCTTCTGTAAAAATTTCAGATACTTTGTAAGTTGGAGATTTTTCATAAAGATATAAATATTCATGCAATTCCAAAAAATTGACCTATTTATTGATATAAAATTAATATACATTTTGTGATTTTATTTGAGAATAAATAAATAAAAAACAAAATATTAACAAAATAGCCCCTTCCTCCCCCCTGCCCCCCCCCAGAGCCAGGCATTCCCATATCCCCGTTCTAACCCAATTTCTCTCCACTCTCCCAAAACCAGCCCCCCCCAACCTAATGCCTCTCCCCTCCCCCAGAGCCAGTCCCTCTCCTCAGGGGCCAAGCTC